GCGACGGGCTCGCGTGTTTAGAGCCTTCAACTGGATTGGACTAGAGGTTTGCGTGGAAGGAACTCTTGTCCGCCTCTCTTCTTTTCTGTCTGTAACCGCAACTCAAGCAAGTTTTCCTGCCTGCACCGCGACCATCTTCGGTGTAAGTAAAATAATCTTTAATCAACCGCTAAGCGTCCGTACCTAATTCTAGCCCGCCGGCCTGCATTCCCCGACCCGCGTGCCAGGGCTGCTGGCCACAGCCCGCCGTGCGCCCCCGTGAACCTCGGACCGCTCCCGGCCCGCACAAATTTGATATCTGTATGATGCAGGTATCAAATTTACACTCAAGCTGGCATAAGTTGCTATATTTACTGTTCAGTACAGGCATGCACGTGTAGATGCATACTGTGCGCAGTAATTGCAGTTACTGCACAGTAAATGTGTACATGTAGATGTGCCCCGTGCATAGAACTTTTTTTTAAGGGAGGTTAGAGGAAGGATACTTTCTCAAAATCATATTTTTCTTTGTGGGTTGGTTCCTTTTTATACAATTGGTTGCATTAAGGAAGCTTTCAGACACCAGGCTAAAAGTTATATAGTGGTAAAATTCCCACTCACTTAAATGGAAACAGGATTGGTTTTTGTATCATTACAGTTCTTGTTTTGCACAGAGATCATTAAGAAGTACTAAATGTAGTGGCGTAAGCCTTTAAACAATACAACCTGTCCTATTTTCCATCAAGATAATGGAAAACAATGGCAAATAACGCATCCCATTCATAGGTTCCTCTCAGCTCAGACACTTCCTACTTTGTCATATCCATAGTAGGTCTATGTATGATGAAAATGCACTTCATTGTGAATTTATCAGTAGAAATTGTTATTAATCAATAAATCCAACAATTCATCTTTCATTTGCTACAGTTGATAACACCTTAAGCAACAGGCAAGGATTTGTCCACTGGTGTGACATGGAGAAATACATCCCATCTCATAGGACAGCTTTGCTATGCCAGCTCTGATATTGCAATGTATCACAAATAGAGGCTGCAATCCAGGGACCTCAGACTCATTATGTTATGCACCTCTTTTTCAATGGATTAGCTACTGTTTAAGAAAAGGCATAGCTAGCAGCTTGAGATTCATACACATAGTAATGGAACTATTACCTCTCCTGCCCAATGCCCATTGTATACCCCAAATATTGCTATTGTATGAAACAGGAATGCTCATAATGTGGAGGCAATAAGCAACGTTTTTATGAAAGATCTGGTGCAAATTCTTTCCAGCCTCCATTGATTGGAATACTGCCCAGGAAAGTCTTAGTCATTTGTGTACTAGTATTATTAATGCTTTGAGAATCATAAAATAAAGCATTTCAGAAAGATGCTAAAATTGCTTGATCATCAATGTGACACATGAAAAATATCTTCAGGGGTTAGAGGAGTGTCCTGTACCATGGAAAAATTGTTTACTACCAGTTTCTAGAAGTGCAACTGCAGGAGCTTTTTTATCTTGGTTTTTCCAATCTCTAGTATGTGTCAGAGACATGATCTGAATCATTTGCTATTTGTAGTCATGGCTCATTCAAAACTTGTATCATTGAAGGCAGTTTACTGCTCCTCTAGTTTCATTATGCAATTTGCTATTCTGAAGTAGTTTTCTTTGCCAAGGCTGGGTTCTTATGACTCATTGTCATGAGGAGGTTTCTCTTTTACTGAAGATAGTATTCAACTCACTAGGAAATCTCAGCACCAGCATTCATGGAGGTAGAGCCCCTCATTTCTATGCTGCTTCCTTTAGGAATGTTAGCAATCCATCAAAATTATTGCAAAGAAGTGAAGTAAAAAAACCAAAGCCCTTCTCTTTTAGAAAACACTTTAGGATCTTTGATGTGAGCTAAATTATAGTTCCCTGAAAGGGATTACAGAATAGTTTTTGTGTAGTACCAAACCTTTTCCTTGATAGTAAGTGGAAATAAGTGTTACAGGCAGGAGAATCTATCTTGAGCATTCCATTCCTGAAGGATGCTGAAGTACTGCTCATATGTTGCTGTCACCTGGAGTCACTGCCAAGTAGTTCTATTAAATTAATGAAGTTCATGTATTAGATATGAGAACATAACTTTAATATAAAAATACAGCAAGCTTTGCATTTTCATGTCTATTGTGAACAACTGAGTAACCCAAATTCAGAAGAACATGTAAGCACATGCTTACTTAAAGTCCAGTCAGCACGAAGCATTTGCTTTAAGTTGTATATGTGCTAGAGTGCTATCCTGAATAAGAATGTTTTCTGAGTCAGGGCCAATATAGGCAGGTCTGGCCCATAAAGGACCATTGGACTAGCTCTTACTTACCCTTTTCACACTGTATAGGTTGACATGGTGTACAGGTTGACATCCAGATTTCTGATCTGAAAGGTAAGGATTTTCATAGGCATAGTGTATAAGTCAGGGCGGGGCTCAGCTGGTGCAGCCCCATCCCCTGCAAGCAGCGCTGCCTGCACCACTCGCAGGGGATGGGGCCACACCAACTGAGTGCTGAGCCAGGCCCCATCCCTGTCCCCTGTGAGCAGTGCTGGGTCCGGTGATGCTCGCAAGGGACAGGGGTGAGGACAGGGCTGGGTTCAGCTGGGCTTGGCGCTCGGCTGACGCGGCTCCATCCCCTGCGAGCAGTGCTGCCAGTGCCACTAGCAGTGGATGAGGCTGCACCAACTGGGCATCAAGCCCATCCCCATCCCCATCCCCTGCAAGTGGCACTGGGCTTATGGGGATGGGACCACTGTGAGCAGTGCTGCCAAATGATGAGCCCAGCGATGCTTACAGGGGATGAGGCTGTGTCAGCTAAGCAATGAGCCCAGCCCCAATCCCCTGCCAGCAGCGCCACGCTTGGCATTTGGCAGTGCCACTCACAGCAGACAGGGCCAGGCTCAGTGTTTGGCTGGCATGGCCCTATCCCCTGCAAGCCTGGCACCACTTGCAGGGGATGGGGCTGGGCTTGGCCGAGCTCAGTGCTCACCTGGCACAGCCTCATCCCCTGACAGCAATGGTGGCAGCACTGCTCCGGGGATGGGGCCTCACCAGGCAAGTGCCGAGCCCAGCTGAACCCAGCCCCATCCTCTATTTTTTGATGTGGCATGGTATATAAGTCAAGTTTGATTTTTAAGACACAAAAATTGGGCTTCAAAACTCGACTTGTATGCCATGAAATATGGTACTTACGTGCCAACTCTTTGGAATGTGCTCACCCACTTCATCTGAAATGCAGAACAATTTTTGAATATAATGAATAACATTTGTTTCAGTCAGGCAATCAAGCTTAAACATAGCTTTCAGCTTTAAAATGATTTTTTAAATTGAGATTTATGCTATATTACATGTGGTACTTTTGACCAACAAGACTGCTTACCTTCAGTGTGACAGTTCCCTGATGTGCAAACTACTTCTGTGAGCTTCCAGATCTGATAGCCTTGCTCAGTGATATAAGCCCATCACATGTAGAAAATACAGGTTCTTTCTCCCATTTTAGGATCTGTTCCTCTCCTCTGAAGCATGACCTGATATTGCTAAACACCATGTAAAAAAACATAGGAGCTGTTTTTATGAGACTCGTACAAAGCAAAGGTATATGAAGTGTTTTTTATTTATAAGATTCACATGATGTGCATTCATGTGAATAAAGCTATGCTGGCTGGCTAGATGGAATGGAAATGAAAGGCTCTCGGGCTCTCTGGGAGAAGGGACACTAATTACACCAGTGAATTTTGTACATTTCCCCCCATTTTTCATTCTCAAATCACCAAAGCCTCTGGGTACATGACTGTGTGTGCATGTGTTGCACAGGGCAGTGTGTATGAGACAGGTCATGTCTAATTGTCTATGCTACAAACTTTCTGTGCTTGGCAATAATGAATGCCAGCAAACTGTGCTATTCTGCATGAGCTGCCTCTTAAATCAGAAGTAGTGTAGCTGATACTGCTCCTTGTGAATATAACAATATTTTATGCAGTCTAGAAACTGCCTGCTCAAAGCAACACACTGCACTTGAGGGCACCACTGATGAGCCATGACAAGCCTGCTCTGTAGACATGACCAGAGGGATTTGTTCCTTCTAGGTTCATATTTGCTGCTACATTTACCTACTACGTTACTGCACTACCAGTATCTGATTTCTTTTGTATAGCCCCTTAAGGCACCTTAACCACGAAGGGATGACATTCTGAGTTGTGACGTACCATGGATTTTACTGCCCAGGTGGAATGGAAGCTATTGATGTACAAACTATTGATATCCTGAACAATTCTGGGAGAAGAGTCCAAAGATCTCTACAGCATTGTGTACTGTATAGTCTTGTACATGAGTCATAGAATGTTCCCTGTGTCCAAGCGTGTGACGAGGTCCTAAACTAGTGTCTCATGGCCATCTCCTGCTGACCCTATGCTAGGAAAATCTTCTCCTGGTCAGATACAGGGCCTTTATACTCCTCTGATCCTTTTTATGTGTCATGACCCAAAAGGCATGATTGTGTGTGTGCTTCGGCACCAGAATTATCCCTGCCAAGTTGCAGAGCATTGCACGGGAGAGTTTCCTGTAGCAAGAGGAAACCCCGGTGCAGGGACAAGTTTCCCGCCTTTTCTGCAGCTTCTTTTGCAGGGTACATTGCTCGAGTTGCGAGAGGAATGCACGGTGCAAAAGAGTTCCCGCCACCGGTATGCAAATTTGTTCCCCGTGATTGGCTAGTGTTAAATTATTCCCACGTGGCGGCTAGCGATTGGCCTGTTAGCCATATAAAAGGCTTGAGCGGTTTCCGCCCAAG